CATCATGAGTTTGAACCCTGGAAAAACGCTACGCGAAGGGTTATAAGGAAGCTTATGAATGCACTGGAGATGAATGCAGGGCGTTGAGGCCTTTCAAGTACGGCTTCGACAGCTTCTATTTTCTCTCGTCAGCGTCATGCTGGTGTCTGCGCTCTAGGGTCCGTTCCATTCTCTTGTTTATCCTCTCCTCCGTGCTCAGTGTTTCACTGCCAGAGCAAAAGTATGTAGGCCCATAACTTAGGCGTTTTCGACCGAGTCCCCTTCTCTTGACTGCGACTCAATTTGTACCAATTCTTCAATGTTCGAGCGCAAAGACCACACCACTATCTGGTGTGTGCCTTTAAGTTCTTAGCCTCTCATATACTATATCTCCGTCAGCTTATTACTTCCTTCTCAATTGAGTCGAATCATATACTCCTTCTCATTACCTCCTCTACAGAATTGCTTTGCTTTTTCTAGCTTTTCTTCCCATTCCTTTTAGTACAGCTACTGCTCCCTTCGGGCCTACCAGCTAGTGTGAACTCGAACATTCCAGCTTTTCACGCATGTCAAGTGACTGCCCTCACCCCCACCCCCTAGACTGGCTACACTCCCCCTGGCTCGGAGTTACCCTAGCTTTCTGGAAAAACTGCACCATGATGCCCCCTAACTGGAATAGACCCCTCCCTCTCCGCTTTAGTGTTACTTCTCGCTGAACATTTCATTCCCATCACTTTCATTTCGTTTGCTATAACCGAGAAAACAAAGCGCGACCCAGCAAATTTATACTCCTGTATCGTGACAGTTCTGCATTTACACAAGCACACTTGCATTGACGTCTAACCTTTATTCGGCGGTGCCGTTTCGGGTTGGAAGTTCAAGGCTTTAGGTCAAGCAGAATATGCACCTGTGAATTTTTATGATGATCTCAATGTCCATTCTCGTGGTAGAATTGGAATCGTATTACGTCCTTGTTTTCACGATATCACAGTTTCCTCCTTCATTCCTTTATTTTTAGATCTTTTACAAAATTCAGTTATTGAAAGCAAGTTCGAAGAGAAGACTAGTTGTAATGTGCCGAATCAGTGTCATTAGACTGATAAGGCCACAGCTTATCAAGCTCTAGTTAATTTGGAAAGGACGTTCGCAGAGAAGAAATCGCTGTAACACACAATGTGCCGGATCAGTGTCATTGGACTGATAAGGCCACAGCTCTGATACTTGAGAATTGCACAATATGCCGAAATTCTAGAACCGCCCTAACTCACTACAGCGGTGTTCTCCTTGGATCTGAAGTAAAATTCGTCGACCGCCTACATCCGCACGTTGGAGGCAACACCCGATATCGACGAGGATACAGGGCGGGGTGAGTCCTTTTTTATCACACTTCGTTACTATTATACTAGATTTCCTGGAAATGCCATCTATAATAAATACAATAACAAAGTTCCTTGTTGTTGCTGTACGTGCAGCTTTGCACAAAATGCACTAAATCTTTCTTCATAAATTCATGCGTCATAGTTTAAGATTGTTCCCGCTTTTGTTGTCGTCATGGATCCGTACAGTATGCACTACGCCCCCCCCTCGCCCCAATCGCGATCGCGAAGTCTGACACCTATTTAGGGTAAAGTCATACTTTTCGACCCTTGCGCTTCATTTGCGATGCGAGTGTGAAGTGAATACGTTGGTTGATATTGGTACATTACTGCAACCCTCTGATTGCACTACAGGTCGCAACTATGGATCGCAACTAAATGTGGGAGGGGAGTAGTATTCGTGCGCATAACCGGCAGACCGGGGTTCCTCCTAATCTACGTGTTGAGATTGTTGCGAGTTTTTATTGCACGAAAGTGACCCTTACCGCCATATTCTCCACGACCCTACCTGATATTTGGTTCGAATAAAATGCCTTCAAAATTCTTCAGGCGAATCCAGATTGTATGAAATGTGGAACTGTTCTTGAAGAATCAATTGTCGTAGCTGAGAATCAGTTCCAGGAGAGAGCTGGTGGTACTGGTCATACTCTAGTCGGTTCGTTAATCTTCTGTTATCGCACTTTGCAACCAACAGTTAAGGATTTTCTCCTGTTCAAGTCATCTTCTGTCGGAGCCTTTTAAAGCCAAATGTATGACCACAGGCTGATTATCGAGAAATTGCGTTTCTTTTCTATTACGAAAGCGAGTATGTTCTGTTAGGTGGTTATTACTTTTGAATTGGGGGGGGGGTAACGTTTTCCACTTGTTTCTATGGGTTTCCACCTGGAAATTCATTCCATGCTGTCGATAAAGTTTTTGGAACTTGTGTCAAGACTTTATTATTTTCGTGTGATGGAAAACGGTTTGAATAATAAGTCTTGCATTTCTGAGCCTCGTTACTTAACCCTAATTTTGAGCAGTAGTCAAGAAATTTGTCTGAATTTATTGAGCGATTTCGTTGACATCATGATTTCCGAACAAATCTTTGTCAAAACCATTGCCATCGATCGAAAGCGAACGATGGCGGGTTGTCATTGATTAAAACAATCCATCGCAAACGATTTTTTGCTCTGTTATCCTTTCCACTGCGATCGCGATCAATAGGACTTTGCCTCGCTTTTTGTGAATTTTTCGTACACTGAAATTTTGTAAGTGCTACATCTGCCCTATTCAAAATGTCTTAAGACTACATGTACATAAAGGGTCTCATTTGGCTGATCTCTGCTTCCAAAAATCACACTTATCACTAAATTACCTTCCTTATGCATCAGTCTAGAGGGAAGTAAGAAAGGGGAATCATTTGCAGGTCAGTTTGTATCTCTTGAACGAGGACAGGCTCAAGCACGAGCTGCCACTCATGGATTGGTCTCACAGGAGTCTCGAGAAGTCACTTTCGCGCGAGGCAGAAAACTTATAGAAGAGGTAGTCCTTCCGAGTCCTTCTAATGTTCACTGTCTAAAATAAGTTTTCAGATAGCTAGTCAACTTCGTATAAATCAGCATTGTATTGATACTTCTTACAACTTTTTCAAAATGTCAGTCAGTCGTAATCTCACTCGCGGACGCGTCAGGTTTCATTTTGAAAACTTTCTGATTTGTCCATATTCAGTGCTCCGAATTCCAAAGTATTTGTTAGTGTTTATTTGCAGATCTCATGTAGTAGCTGCCTGTCTTTATATGACTTGCCGTCTAGAAAACACAGCGCATTTGCTCCTTGATTTCAGTGACGTCACACAGGTAGTCATTATATTGGATGTTTTCGTTTCGACTATTGTCCATGTTTTCGTGATTTAGGTAAACATGTTTGATCTCGGTCGCACGCTTAACTTTCTATCTCGCTCTCTACGGATTAATTTGCCTTCCACGGATCCCTGTCTTTATATTATGCGATTCGCGTGTCTGATGGAATTAGGAGAGAAACTGAAAGAGGTACGCAATTATATTGATCTATTCATTTGTCGTAATTCGAAATATCAGTACCGCAAACAAGTACTCATCTTCACGAGGCCTCGATCGAACCTCCTTTTTCAAATCTTTGTAGGGAAGTTGAGTGATGTCCCACTAACTAACCGCTTCTTATACAGTTGCTTACAGGTTTCTTCTCAAATCGGCTGGGTTCCATGTCCACAAATTTAGGACATTTTTTGAAGGATTTTTTTTCAATCAGAAGAGCTAGAAAGGGGTTACTTGAAAAGCATTTTGTGCAAAGTAATGGGTACTTCCGTAGCAATCAGCTCTAACTGAAGGAAAAGAGCATCGAGAGGTAACGTTTAGAGTGCGCGTTTTTTCGCCGTACGTAGCGTGTAGTGTAGTCTTGCTACCGCCAAGTGTAGTACTTTTGTGAGTAGCCATAGACGGCCATCTTCGTGCAAAAGTTTGTCTTACA